CGTGTGTGGAGCCGTCGGGCGCCGCGGACTCCCGGAGGGTCGGCGGCCGGCCGGACTCGGGCTGCGGGGCGAGTGACGGGCGGCCCGCCCAATGGGGCGGCGGGGGGCGGGCGGGCCGGGGTCCCGGAGCTGCTCCCCCGCGTCCCGGGCGCTTCCTTGGGAAGGTGGCTCCCTAGGCAGTAGTCCGAGTTTCTCCTCCAGCTTCCATCCTTTGGTTTTATGTCGTGATGCAACAGATCCGGGCTCAGAACCGAAGGCAGACTTGCTACACCTAACACATATTGAGCCATAATTATTGGCTTATGACGGAACCGCACAAACGCACCTTCTACCCATGTGTAGACTGCCTCTTTTGTAAGTTAGCGGTTTGGCCCCTTCCCCTTCAAATGCGCTTGTTTAGCATTGATTGTGCTCTTAGGCAGACTCCACATCTGTCCAAGAAGTGTTAGGTTTTCGTTCTCTCTTAAAAAAAAAAAAAAAAAAAGATATAATCGATATGTAACATTTTGTGTTAGTTTTCATTTAAGATGTCTTTGGAAGCAGTAGATTCCCACCTAGTGGGCTTCTAACTACACACGTCAGTATTCTGTTCTCAATAAACGATTCTATTTGTGGAACTTTAGTAAATGGAGTGCCTTCACCTATATGAATTATTTCACTTAATTTCACATAAAACAGCAACCCAGTTAGGTCGATGGTTATTATACTTTCCAGATGAGGAAATGCGTTATGTGCAGAATGTAACCGTTAAACCAGAAGGTGAACGATGGCAGCCTCCCAACGCCCTTGCCTCCTGTTCTTGTTCTTCATTCCCTCCTAAAGGCACCTCCAGAGTCTTCTGGAAAGCAAGTCAGTCACTTTGCTTTCCTGCTCTAAAAACCTTAATTGATCTTTATCAGAAAAAAAAAACCTCCAAAATCCTCAGCAGAAGAACCAAGGCTCAAACTTCCTCTCTAGGGTTATCTTCCCCAAGCTGCAAATATGGGTGGGTTTGTGGAACCCCTGAAGCAAGAGTTCTTCACTGATAACCAGTTATCAGGTATCTATTTCTGGAAATCTCCCTGGCCACACCAGTGGTAAATGGGAAGGGAGAATCTAACCCCCAGCCCTTGGGCAAATAGGCATGGGTAGGTTAGACTCTAAGATGTCAGCAGAAGGCATCCTGAAAACCTGGGCTCTTTCCAGGTCATGTAAATTTCTGACCCCTTGATACTTGATTCATCCTACATAATTTCAGTCTTATTTCCTATAATAAAACTGGGTTTCTGTTTAATAGGTTTAGCCCTTTCAGTGATATAATTATATGTTTATATTTAAAGGATTTGGTGTAAGTTTTTGATCCTCTCGAGGGAAGTTTTTGTCACTTCTTTGTTCAGAATTGGTCAGTGCCTCCCCATTTTCAGTGGTTCCCCATCTTACTCATAGTAAAAGCCAAGGCCTTGTAAAAGTTGGTCCCGTGATGTCTTTCTGGCCGCACCATCTCCCCTTCCTTTCTGACTCCATTTCTTATTGCTCTCTCCATCCCTCCTTAATGTTCCTCCAGTCCTCCTTGCCTGCTCCTTCTTAGAGCCTTCACCCTTCATCTGCCTGGAACACTCTTCCCTTAGATACCACATGACTATCTCACCTCCTTTGGACTTAAATGCCAACTTCTCAATGAGACTTTTCCAGCTATGGTTCTGATTTTCTTAAACATTTTAATACTTCATTCTAAATCTTACCAGGGTTAAAAGATGTTCATTCACCAAAGAATACAATTACCATGCTAGTTAGCCCAAATTCTTTGACTCAGGAATTTTTGCTAGGGAGGCTAATGAGATTTATTTTGGTGACCCTGATGGACACACTAAATTCTAGATTAATGATTATATATCTTAAAAGAGATGGTCTTCTAGCCCACAGTCTTTTTAAAAAAAATTTTTTTTCAACGTTTATTTATTTTTGGGACAGAGAGAGACAAAGCATGAACGGGGGAGGGGCAGAGAGAGAGGGAGACACAGAATCGGAAACAGGCTCCAGGCTCTGAGCCATCAGCCCAGAGCCTGACGTGGGGCTCGAACTCACGGACCGCGAGATCGTGACCTGGCTGAAGTCGGACGCTTATCCGACTGCGCCACCCAGGCGCCCCCTGCCCACAGTCTTAATACACTGTACTTGTTACCTAAATCTTCAATCATAAAATATGTGTTTTTTTCCTTCTATTCCAAGGACATTTGAACTTTGGTTCTTAAAACATGTAATTGACTTTTCCATTCACCTGTTTAAAGATCTTTCAACTGAATGGGAATCTAGATTTCTTTAATATTCTTAGGATTTTATGATATTTAACTCTATCTCTTTTATAGATATCTAAAATATTTCCAGTTGAATTTTGGATGTCCCACATGAATTAATGTAATTTGCTGTTTCAATTTATAGGGTCAATCTACCAAGAGAAGAAAATTTGAAACATATTACCCATTTCCATGACTGAATCGCATATTTTGAAAGTAACTTAAAGCTTTCTTAATGATGTGAGTACAGTTATGAATGTAGGTTATGTTAATGTCCTGTGGATGTAAATATTACCAAGTTGTAACTGAACCCAATTTATAGGACAATTCCTATTGTCCTGTAAAAGTTGCTGTTTTTACTCCTGCCTATGTCTCTACTGCCTGTCTTAGTGTAGTCCCCTTTACCATGTCTTGCTTTGACCATTGCGTTAAGCTTTTAAAAATTTTTTTTTTCAACGTTTATTTATTTGTGGGACAGAGAGAGACAAGAGCATGAACGGGGGAGGGGCAGAGAGAGAGGGAGACACAGAATCGGAAACAGGCTCCAGGCTCTGAGCCATCAGCCCAGAGCCCGACGCGGGGCTTGAACTCACGGACCGCGAGATCGTGACCTGGCTTAAGTCGGACGCTTAACCTACTGCGCCACCCAGGCGCGCCGCGTTAAGCTTTTAAATTGGTCGGTCTCCCTGGGCTTGCCTCTCCCACCTTTTCTCTTCCATGCCCTGTCAAGTTTTCTTCTGGGAATACAAATGGAATCATTGTAACAATAATACCTGATATTTATTGAGCCCCAGCTGCAGGCTGGGTCTTGTGCATACTCCCTGGACAGAAGAGTGCAAAACTCAGGGTTGTTGGTTTAGGGTCAGTCAGCCAGAATTCCAGTCTCTGTTCACTTGATCCTGTGCAATCTTGGAAGTTTTTAAAAATTTTCCGCATGCCTCAGTTTCTTTATACAGTGTGCATCATGGATCACAGCTTGAGGCTGTTGTGAGGACTGCAATAAGTGTGGAGTGTTTAGCACAGTGCCAAGTAAACATTCAAATATTAGCCATTTGGGGGTGCCTGGGTGTCTGAGTCAGTTGAGCGTCAGACTCTTGCTTTTGGCTCAGGTCATGATCCCAGGGTAGTGGGATTGAGCCCTTGGGTTGAGTCCCAAGTTGGGCTCTGCGCTGAGCGTGGAACCTGCTTGAGTCTCTCTCTCTCTCTCTCTCTCTCTCTCTCTCTCTCTCTCGCAAGCTATTTTTATTGAAGTATAACTTACAGGTCATAAAATTCACCCTTTAAAGTGTATGTAATTCAGCGGTTTGTAGTGTATTCATAGAGTTGCACAACCGTTGCCACCCTCAAATTCCAGAACATTTTCACCATAATATAAAGAAACCTCATACCCATTAACCATCACTCTCCATTGCTGTATCTCCCTAGTCCTGTGACAACCACTAACCTGGCCTGTCCCTATCCGCCCATTCTGGACGTTTCATTTATTAAATTTTTTTTAACGTTTATTTATTTTTGAGAGAGAGAGAGAGAGAGGGAGAGAGGGAGGGGCAGAGAGAGGGAGATACAGAATCCGAAGCAGGTTCCAGGCTCTGAGCTGTCAGCACAGAGCCTGACATGGGGCTCAATCTCAGACTGCAAGATCATGACCCCAGCCGAAGGATAGCTGATAGAGCCACCCAGGCTCCCCTGGACATTTCATTTAAATACAATCATAAAATATATGGTCTTTTGTGACTAGCTCCTTTCACTTGGCTAGAGGGTTTTAAGGTTCACCGATGTTGTAGCAAGTATCAGTAGTTCTGTTCTTTTTCTTGGCTTAATAATGTTCTATTGTATGGATGTGACACGTTCTGCTTATCCATTCACCAGCTGATGGACATATGAGTTGTTTCTATGTCTGAGCTATTATGAATAATGCCTCTGTGAACATCTGTGTACAAGCTTTTTTGAGGACAAATGTTTGTATTTATCTTGGGTGTATATCTAGGAGTGGAGTCATTGGATTAAGTAATTTTTAAATTTTTTTTTTAACGTTTATTTATTTTTGAGACAGAGAGAGACAGAGCATGAACAGGGGAGGGGCAGAGAGAGAGGGAGACCCAGAATCGGAAGGAGGCTCCAGGCTCTGAGCCATCAGCCCAGAGCCTGACGCGGGGCTCGAACTCACGGACCGTGAGATCGTGACCTGAGCCGAAGTCGGACGCTTAACCGACTGAGCCACCCAGGTGCCC